TGTGTGTGTGTGTGTGTGTGTGTGTGTGTGTGTGTATGTTTTCCTATTATTTACTTCTAGCATTCTTCTCCAATTCTAATTTTTCTATTTAAAAAGTGACTAACTGGTTCTCTCTCCTCTCCTCTCCTCTCCTCTCCTCTCTCTCTCTCTCTCTCTCTCTCTCTCTCTCTCTCTCTCTCTCGTTTACTTTTTTGCTCTAGTCTCCTTCACACTCTCCTGGCCTCTTCCTCCAAATCCCTCTTCGAGAGCACTGTGGGTATGAAGTTGCCCTGAGGGCCTTTGCTTGACTTTTTCTATCATTCGTTCATTAAATCAGAGCCCTAACATCTCTGCATCAGGAGAAATCATGTGGCCTGTTGCTGCGGGCCAAGGTTAGGCTTGTCCCTTCTTCCAACAGCACCGTCATCCGTATCTAGTAGTCATTCAGTGATATTTTATGAGCCTGTCTTGGACATTTATTTTAAATGAGTTTATATAGGCATCGGGTTGGGTTCTAAAGAGTCATTTCCTGCACATATACAGATTATAAACTCCAGGCACTCCCTGATATAGCAAGACCCTGTGGCTAGTTTTATTTTGGCATAAAATTGGCAGAAAAGTGTTCTGTAGGATGGGGCAGTGGAGAAGTAAGTCTGAGCTTATGAATTTATTCAGTTCAGCATAAGTGAGCCTTCTAAGCAACAAAGACATAAGCTTTATCTAGCCCTAAAAAACGACCAAAGATTACCCAAAGAGGAAGAATGTGACTCACCTCTTATCTCTATAGCAAACTGCTTGGTTGTCCACTTTTGGCTAGCCCTCAGAGAGAGGGCGTTCTTATGATTCAACATCTTAAGGCTTGAAGCATTTTCTTAAGGGAGAAAAGACAGTCCTGTGGCCCATCCTGTTCTTACTCACATGCTAATCATCTACAGATGACTCATTCAAACAGTTGGTTGCCAGGCTACCTGTGCAGAGCAGAGTTCACGGTAGATGTAGAATGCATCTACAGCCACACAGTGACTTCTGGGGGTCAGCTTGGAGGGGATAGCAATGATTCCATGGAGGCAGGCCCTGTAGAACGTGTCCATCTATCCTAGAGCACACAGTAGGCCTTCTCAGTGCCACTGAGGAATGAGTGCTTGTGTGCACATTTCCCTCTGGTTGTGGAAGACTGGCTGAGGTCATTCATTAATACACTGATAACTGATTATTTTAGAGACTACAGGAATTCTGGAGAGTCAGGTGACTTCTGGACTGCTCCATGGTTTACATAAACCAGCCTCTACAGTGATTGGGGTGTTTGTTTTTGTTTCATTTTCATTTGGTTTTCTCTACAGAAAGAATCAGTGACCAGGTGGCTTGTAAACAGCAGGCGCTCACCCCTTATCACTCTGGAGGCTGGGACCCAGCACCAAGTCTGTGTTTGCTTTATTGTTAGAGTGTGGCTTCCCACTGTGTTCTCACTAGAGGAACAATGGTTCTCTCCTCTAGGATCTCATTAGAAAGGCCCTGACTTGATGCTTTTTTTTTTTAATTTTAAGGTGCACGCGTGCGTGCGTGCGTGCATGCGTGCGTGCGTGCGTGCGTGCGTGTTCCTACTGTAGTCCAGGGCTTGAACCCCCCAATCCTCCTGAATACTGGAATTACAGGCATCACCCCATTCTCAGTTCTTTCATCCTGGTTATTTGTTGTTGTTTTGACGTAGGGTCTCAGTATGCAGCCGAGGCTGGCCTTAATAGACTATGTTTGGCCAGAGGCAGAGGCAGGCGGATCTCTGTGAGTTCGAGGCCAGCCTGGGCTACCAAGTGAGTTCCAGGAAAGGCGCAAAGCTACACAGAGAAACCCTGTCTCGAAAAACCAAAAACCAAAAACCAAAACCAAAAAAAAAAAAAAAAGACTATGTTTGAGAAATGTTTCTAAAAAAAAAAAAAAAACTTTTTTTCCCCTATCCAACAGATTGAAGCAGGGAAAAAGGAAGCCAGGAAGAGGGAAGAGAAGGTGGGGAGGGGAAGGGAGGGGAGGGCAGGGGAGGCCCACCGAATTATGGTTACTTTAGGCAATGCTGTGATCAGCCATTCAGAAATGGAAAGAGCAGCTGACTGCAGATGAAGTTCTTCTCTCTGGACAGTGGCCGAGCACAGTGAGTCCTTCAGACCCCACACAGCACAGGACCAAAGCTTCCTGTCTGACCCCCTTAGAGCTGTCTGCCTGTCAGTCTTTGGGGTTTTCGTTAGAGCAGGGACACCTGGTGCCAGAGGAACCATTTCTCAAGCCCTTGGACGCTAACAGACTTTCACCTCGATCATGGTTGTATTTTATTCTCTATACCTAAATTCTCTCGGGTCTAAAATGGGATTTGTAAGCAAGGGCACACGGAAACCACCGAACTGGACTGACTGCTCCATGGGTAGAAATAAAGGTTTATTGCCAAGGTAACACCCCCACTCCGGGTGGGGGAGAAATGCAAGAGGGTTTTTTATATGACAGGTAGCAGAATGGGGGTGGGGTGTCTTCCAGCGGATGCAGCCTGTTGGAATTGACCGGAAACTAGATGTCCTTGCCCTGGGTAGTTGACATTTAGGGTCAGATTAAGAGAGATTCTGGGTCAACAGAAACCACCTTGAAGTTCCTGTTTACCCAGCCAGAGTCCTTCTGTTTAGGACATAGTCACCAGCACTGCCATTTTGGGGGGGCTGCTTTGGACCTAACAGGATTAAAATAATAATACCAACTCCATAAATGTATGTAAAGCCCTAGGCACAGTATGGAGCACACCAACGTTTGGTGGATATTAGCTGATGTTATCATCTGAGGCCGGAAAAGAAAAATCATCTGGAATATCCGTAACCACATCACTCAGTTTTTATCTAAATAAATGCTTCCAAACTGGTTATCAGCCTACTTGCAAAGGTGGAGTGTATCATATTACAGACAGAGCTGCGCCCTGTTCTTATGATTTAACTGTCCCTCACCCTACAGTACTCTCCTCCAGTCTTTGAGAAAACATCTTTCTAGGAAGCAATTCATTCATTCATTCATTCATTCATTCATTCATTCATTCATTCATTCATCTACTCTCATTCATCCATTCATTAATCAACAAATACCCACTGAGAAAAACCTACCATGTACCACCTTCTGAGTAGACCAAAAACACCAAAACTTTGGGGTGTTCAGACACAACAAAATTCAGTGCAGGAGTGAATGCAAACGGGGGGTGCCTCTTACATCTCAGACATGTCAGGGACACCTGCTCCTCCCTCCCCTCACACGCATAAGTCACTGCGCACTTCTGGGGAAGGCTTTGGGTGAAGGAAAGGGTAGCAGGCTGTGCCCGTGAGAGGCAGCTTCAGACTCGGGAATCGTGTGAATCTTAGAGTGTCTGGGTGCAGACGGCCAGGGCCCACTGCCAGGCACAGGTGAGGGGCGCAGGCCGGCGGGGCGTGTCCTTGTTCCAGCTTTGGAAAGCTCCGGGGTCCGCAGGGCGCGGTCGGGTCAGGCGCCTGCTGGGCGAGGGATGCTGCCCCGCCCCGGGAGGGCGGGCCGGGAAGAAGTGTACTAGAAGTGCCCCAGCCGCCGCCCAACTCGCTAACAGCTAGCGGAGCGACGGGCGGAGCACTGACCAGGTGAGCGGCGCGGGCGAGGGGGGCCGGTGCTGCAGCTCAGTGCACCAAGAAAGGGCTCGGCTCGCGGGAGGGCCCGCGGTTCCTGCTCTGCGGCCTGGCGGGAGGCGACCTTTAGGGTCCCAGACGCGGGTCCACAGCCGTGGCTCACCCACCGGTAACACTCGGAGAAAGTTAGCTGCGCCCTACATACTAAGCATCCTTGGGGCGGCGGGATGCCAGCGTGCTCTGGGCACAAACGCCCTGCGCTCGAGTGAGCCCCAAGAGCCACCTTGCAGTTGGCTCTAAGCGGTTGCCCCTAGCTTGGCCCTAGGAACCAAGTCCCCCTCCCGGAACGCTTGGGGGCTGCCTGGAGACTGCAGGGCATCTCCTGGGATCCTTGACTTGGCCAGCAGACTCATTGGGTGCACTTGCGGAGCCTTCCGCTAAAGATCGTGTTGTGTGGTGCCCCTGAGCTCTGCCAGGTCCAGCAGCGGCAGGGGCTATAGCCACTCCCTGCGTGCTGACCGCACGGAAAACAGGGCTGCCCATGCTCTAGATGGGAACCGAAGGTAACCTCTAAACTTTTTGCAAGCCAAGTGACTCATCAGTGCCCAATGTGATTTGAGCAATAACATCTAGATCTGGGCTGAGGAAATCTTGGGCGTGGTGGTGTTTATCCCAGAGCTGCAGAGCCTTAGCTGGAGGCTTTTAAAAGTTGGATTTATTCCTAATTATCTGCTGCTCAAACACGAATGCAAGTTTGATGCGCGGATTGAGGCTGTCACTTAGGATTTCCTGTCCCAGGAACTGGAATATTTGTAACGTGACCCTTGGGGAGTAGGGTTTCTAGACAATGAGGACCCCTGGACCTAGTGACCCAGCTTATTCTGAAGAAAACAATTGCACTCACAGTGTTTAAAACTCACTAATTTCTGAAATTCCAAGTTGTTTGCTTCAAGTTTATGTATTTCTGTATTTTTATGTCTTTGCTTTCTGAGGGAGGGCAGGAGAGGCAGAGTCTCACTACAGCCTAGGCAGGTCTGGAACTCACTTTGTAGCCCAGGCTGGCTTTCACTTTTCAATCCTGTCTCAGTCTCCCAAGTGCTGGGGTGTGAGCCGCCACCCACAACTGTTTCCTTAAAAATTGAAGTTTAGTAACCAAAAGCTTTCTTTTCTGCCACAATAGTCTTTGGGTGGAGGGAAAAGGAACTTGGGATTGGAAAATTTTTTTGTTGTTTTTAACTGAGGCAAGGTCTTCCTATGTGATCTAGGCTGGTTTTGAACTTGTGATTTTCCAGACCAGTACAACCACACTTAGCAATTGTCTCCTTCTTGGTCACTGATGCTTTTTTGCTTTGTTTTTCTTTTGTTTCTTGAGATAGGATCTTCCAATATAGCCTTGGCTGGCTTCATACTTAGTATATAGTCCAGGCTGGCCTTGAACTCATGGAACCCCCTCTACCATAATCTCCAGAGTGCTGGGATTACAGTGTGGACCATCACGCTAGACTCTGCTAATTGATTCTGAATACTTTTCAAATAGGTCCCTTTCCCCTAAGATAGTCATATTTATTCTTGATGGGGCTAGCTTCCTAAATTCACAATGTTTAGAGTTTAAAATCTGGGCTGCAGAGATGGCTCAGAGTTTAAGAGCATTGACTGCTCTTCCAGAGGTCCTGAGTTCAGTTTTCAGCAACCACATGGTGGCTCAGGACCATCTATAATAAGATCTGCTGCCCTCTTCTGGCATGCAGGCACATATGCAGGTGGAATACTGTATACAACAAATAAATACATTTTTTTCTTTTTAAAAGAGGGCTGGGCAGTGGTGGCCCATGCCTTTAATCCCAGCACTTGGGAGGCAGAGCCAGGCGAATCTCTGTGAGTTCGAGGCCAGCCTGGTCTACAGAGTGAGTTCCAGGACAGCCAAGGCTACACAGAGAAACCCTGTCTTGGAAAATAATAATAATAATAATAGTTTAAAATCTGTATTATTTCATATCCTGGGGAGGACTTTCATGAGGTCTCACAGCTGGAACTTGGTAGGTAGATCAGGCAGGCCTGGACTTATGACACCCACCTGCCTCTGCCTCCTGAGTATGCACAGATGCTTTCCAAAGAACTTTTCCTTAGGTAGGTATGGGAGTAAGTACCTGTAATTCCAACACTCAAGAGGCAGAGCCCAGAGAATCCCAAGTTCAAGGCCAGCATAGGCTACATTGAGAATTCAAAGCCAACCTGGGCCAGAGAATGAGACCTGTCTCAAAACAAATATATAAAAAAGTAACCTTACTTCTTGCCAGTGAGCTCAAGTGGCCTAGTGTGGTCTTATTTAGATTTAGGTGCTGTTTGCCTAGCACCCTTGGTAGCCAGAGTCCAAGTCTTCACTGTAGCAGACTCATGTCCTGCTTGCTGTTGACTAGGGGTCATGCCTTCTTCCTTGACTGACACTTGGCTTTTCCAAAGGGAATAACTCAGTGACTGAGAAAGAAACACAGAGTAACTTTATCTTCCTTGATGTGAGGAACTGGGAAGAGAAGGAAATCCTAGGAGATGGCCAGTGTCCCCTCACTGACTGCGGCTTTGGGACGTGGACTTCCTCACGCCCTGCTCCATGTTTCCACAAAGGTGGGGAATGGAGTGGCACTGCCTGAGTTCCTGGGGAAGGAGCGTGGAGAGGGCCCAGGATCACTAGTTATTGTTTTATAGTTTTGTTCTTTATGAACACAAGTTCCAGAAGAGTCCCTGGGAGCCCAGACAACCGGGTGGTTAGGAGGTAGGCACAGCAGAGCATGGAACAGTGGGTCACTCCTATTAAAGGAAAAGCTCCCAATAAACAGCTGGTTACATTGACTCATATTTAAATCCATCAGAATGACACTGAGCTGTTTCTGCCTGCTGCTTCCAAATGCAGTATTTCCAAACAGAGACCAAGTCCCATACTCTGCTTAAAAAAAAAATCTTTGATGAATTTTGCCTTTTTTTTTTTTTTTTTTTGCCGTGGCCCTTCAAAAATTTCTGGTTCTAGAAGTGATAGAATTGAGTTTGTACATATACATGATCTGTAGGGTGGGAATAAACTGAGTTTATTCACTGGAAGGAAGGAGAGAACCAACTCCAAAAACTTGTCCTTTGACCCCTCCTTACACACACACACACACACACACACACACACACACACACACACTTACAGACACAAAAGAAATTCATGTACTTGAAAAAAAACTCTATCTGGGGGCTGGAGAGATGGCTCAATGCAGCATAATCAGAGAACCTGAGTTCAGATCTTGATCGCACACTCACAAAGCTGGGGATGGCCACCGGAGCCTATCCCTCATCCTGGATTGTGGATGTGGAGACAGGAGGATTCTGTGGGATCACTCACCAGTCATTCTGGCCAGTCAGGGCACCTCAGACTCACATAGAAATGGTCTCAGAAAATAAGGGGAAGGGAGATTGTGGAGGGCATCTGGCACTGACCTCTGACCTCCCCACAGGGGCATGCGCACCTTCACACACAGGTGCATGATAAGCTTGCGCACACACACACACACACACACACACACACACACGCACGCACGCACGCACGCACGCACGCACGCACGCACGCGCACACACACACCCATCTCAGTTAAAAAAAAACGATCTGTGGCTGAGAGAAGACACAAAACAATAAATACTGGTTTTGGAAAAATACAACTTGGTTACATTGTGGTTCTTCTTAGCAACATGACTGTATGTACAGGATGGTATTCTGTGTTCAGTATCCTGTGTGTTGAATGAGTCACCAAGTTAGTGTTCTGAACAAAGCATGAGCTTATTTTTAAATTTGTTTCCTATTTCTGCATGTCATGTAGTTCCGGGTTCTGAAAAGCCAGAGAGCTTTTCAGTGAAGTAACTAACAATTCCAAAGGATTTTATTTTAAAACATCAAACATGTATGATTTAAAGTAGTATAGAACAAACTTGTATTAGTCAGGACACTTGTGTCCTGGTCCCCAGACTGCCAGCAAGATGGCTTTGGGCCGCTGAATTAGCTCTCTGATTTCTCACTTAACAATGGCAGTGTTTTCCCCGGTGGGTCTCACCAGATTGCTAACAAAATAAAACGGATCTGTGAAAGTTCCCTGGGGACAGACCATCTCCACACAAATTCAGGGAGGCCATCCCGTGGAATGTGTCACAGTTCAGACCAGTCATCCACGGCTCCCATGAATCACAATGGAATCTGCTGTTTCTAAAACTTCATTTGATGAGGTTGGAAAATGGACTAAACCAGCCCTCATCCGAGGCTTTGCCAAGAACAAAGCTCAATGTGGAAATGTCCCTTATAGTTTCTAGTTGTATCATTCTTAAACATAATTGATTGGTGTTTTATTAATAGGACACTTTTTGAAGAAAATGGTAAACTTAGGTTGTTTTGTTTTGTTTTTCTCACACAGAATTTTCAAGTGACACATTATTTAACATCAGAGATTTGGCCTTGAGACTTAAGAGCTTAACGTAAGTCTTCCAACCTCTTAAAACCATAACTTACTTAAGGAGAGAAGGGGGGGAGTTGGGGGGAAGTGTTACCTTTATGGCTTTTGGAGACAACCTTGCTATGTGGCTTAGGTTAACCTCAAACTCAATCCTCCTGCCTCAGCCTTCTGA